ACCTAAGAAAACACCACAGAGACCTGAACTGGCTCATAGCTCATGGTGTACTCCCAGGGAAGGCGTGGAGGCGCAGAGCGAGACGAGAGTCTAGAACCAGCTGCCCCAGGGGAAGCTACCAAAGTGAGAATGAGACCATCGACCACCTCCTTTGGCTCTGCCCCTATGCCAAGGGAGTGTGGAAAAAGGTAAGCCAGCTCCTTGAGGAAGTGACAGGAGTCAGGCTGATGACAGGGAAGGCAGCGCTGTACGGACACCTAACTAAACATCAGGGGTCCCAGACAACCCACTTTGACTAGTTTGTGTCCTGCATCAGGAGTGCCCTGTGGCAATGCAGGAACCTCCTGATGTACAGTCACACTAAGTTTGAGCAAACGGATTGTGTTAAAATGTTTCTGAGCGAACTCCAGTCCTACTACCAAAACGTGGTGGAAGAGGATGCATCCAACTCCACCTGGAAAAGGGACACATGGCATACATAGGCTGTTCAAAGTCCTCCCAGGAAGGGAAGTGGATAGGGAGAACGAAGGGGACAATGACACAACTGGACCTGGAGATAGTGAAGAGGACAACAGGATCAGCAACAGTGGAAGCGACAGCGGCATCTACACCGATGAGGACAGAGAATGAACTGAGAAGGGAAACCCCAAGTCAAAGCCTGGACAAAGGGACTGCGTTTAGGTTAGGGAAGGGCAGAGGGTGGGTGTGTGTGAGCACAGGGGAGCAGGTGCAGTTATTGTAACAGGTGCACGGCTTTCTTGAGGTGGTTCTAAAAAAAAGGTGCGATGGAAGTCTATGATATAGTTATAGATATAGATTTTAATTTTTAAAAAACCAAAAAAAGTAGTAATTACCTAGGGTTGCCAATTCTGAATCTATTCTGGGGTCTTTCCAGAATTCCAATGTGCCCGTGAGACAGTGCGAACGTGCCTGCATGCTTGCATATATCAGTTAAAGATTAGTGTAGACTTTACATCAGGAAGGCAAATGCACATTACAATTACATTTTAAAAACCCACTGGATTACTATATATATATACTAGATTCAACATTTAATATTTATTTTAATGAACGCCCTATCATTTATCTTCTGGGTGACTCTCAGCAGTATCCTGGAGGTTTATATCTAATTCCTGGAGACTCCAGGACAATCATGAAAGGTTGGCAACCCCATAATTACTGCACTCCAGCCAGCCTCCACATCATGTGTATCAACATCCTGTGCTTCAAAATGGCAGCGGGGGTGCTTTATCTAAAGCTCGTCAAACAAACTTTATATAGAACGCCCCCACCTCTATTTTGAAGCTTGGAGATGCTGATACACAAGACACTCTGGGCAATTGAATTAGAAGGCTTGCTCCACCCCACCCCTGGAGCATGTGTATGGATGCCCTCTGAGCCTACCTGATAGAGACTTCTGACCCTGGGAATTTCCTGAAGCTTGACGAAAGGTGCTAACTGCCTGCACTGGAACACGCCATGCTGTATAAGAACTGAACACAGTTTTTGCCCCTTATTATCACAATGAGGTTTAATTTACTCCAGAATTTTTAACTACAGAGCAAACACTGAAATACAGATGATGAGCCCCAAAATATATAAAATACACCAAAAGGTACCAGAAAAAGAAAGTTTCATGCAGAGTTGCATCTGATCTGGAAACTACTAATGGAATTCTTCATGCAAATATAAGGAATATGTCTGGATCCAGCAAATCTTTCAAACTGGTGAAACTTTTTAAGGGTGATCACTGTAAAACTATTAGTGTTATTTTAAATATATATAAGATTTAAAATATATAACCAGAGTAAATTTAACTTATGATAAGTGACCACTCAAAGTTTCATAATTTCAGGAAGTATAATAGTTGGAGCTGCTAAACTACCATAAACTAGCTGAACCTTTTCTATTTATACAAGCTATAAATAATTTTACGTCACATCACAAGCTCCAGTATCAACAATGAAAAGCTGGTAAGGAAACAGAGAAGGAGGAGGGAAAGCAGTTCTGGGGGAAGGGACTATGCGTGTTTTCTGTTCATCATTACACGGCACAGAAATACTTCCCCCTCATCATTACACAGCATTTTTTCCCAGAGTCTCTGAGGAAAACAGAGGACCCATTAAGAGAACTTAGGCACACCCACAGCTGTGACTAATACCACAACATCGCATATACAAGGATGTTTCTCTATTTAATCAGAAGAAGATTTAGAGGCAACATTTTAAAAAAGCCTTACCTATTCACCTCTTTTCCCACCCAGATATCTGTCATAGAATAGGGTGGAAATTCCTTTTATTTATCTTAACATCTGTTTTCAATTTTCCTACAAGTCAGAGTGCATTTGCACTTCTTTCTTATTACATAAAGTATTTTTATTCAAACCTCAGTGTTCTTTATTTTGCTTGGTTTCCTTAACGGCAGAGGTTCCCAACCCCTGGGCCATGGCCTGGTACTGGGTCACAAAGGGTGGCTGCCGGTCCGCAGGAGGGTTGGCTGCTGGATCGGAAGTCCAGAAGGGACCAGCATACTGCAGACTGGCAGCCAACCCTTTTTTATACTGAGTATATACTCAGTATAAAAAAGGGTTGGCTGCCAATCCACAGTATACTGGTCATTTCCAGTCTCCAGTATGCTGGTCCACGGTCACTTCCGGTTTGCAGTCTAAAATGGTTGAGAACCACTGCTTTACAGAGACCATAAACATACCTATGACAGTGCCACAGTTTGGGATTTGCATGATTATGGGCATGTCTACACATGCATTTATACTGGCTTAAATTTACTACACAGTAAACCAGAATAGGCCAGCATCTACACGTGCGGGCGTTATAGTATGCATTAACACTGTATGTAGACTGACTTGGGACTAGTTAGTCCCAAGTCAGTCCACACACACAGTGTTACTGTGCAGTAAGACATCTACATTTGAGTTACTGTGCAGTAACAAATTGGGTGTAAATTTGCAGGTATCAAATTTACATTCAAATTGGCATAAATTACCATATGTACTGCGCAGTACGGACACAACTTGACACATGCATGCCCATACTGTGCAGTAAATGAGTTGTGCCCATACTGTGCAGTAATTTCCATTACTGCGCAGTAAATGCACATGTGTAGAGTGCCCTATATTTCTCTGAATGTTTATCTGCAGTTTGTCTCTGGCCAAGGTCTTCCCTTCTTTAGTGCAGTATGTATTGTGACATAATATTTATACTTTGATTATTTTGTGGCTTCTGTTGGGTCTTTTATTTATTTATTCAGGTTATTCTAAGCAGCACAAGCATCAGGTTGGCACATTGTATATGTCAGCATTTTCATCAGTATTTCATCTTTGTGTATGAAAGATTGTGTATTACCTTTTAGTGCAATGGATGTGTTGTGCTTTCAACAAACCATAAATTTGAGGATTTCAGGAGTTGTGAAAATTTTGGGGATGATGTTTTGTGATACTTAGTACATGTTTGTATGAGGGTACTCCAGAAAGAAACAGCATTTTTCAAATAAACCCACTTTCTATGCAATGAGTGGGAAAGTACACAGCAGCAGGGCACACTGATAGTGTTGTCAAAGGCACCCAACATTTACAACTATGTAGAGAAGTGATGTTGTCCAGTAGGTGATCATTGTACACAAAATGGTTTTATTTTAAAAGCGCTATTATTTTCTCAAACACCCTTGTGTTCTGTAATTTTAGAGCTCTGTGTGCACTTGGAAGTTTTTGGGGCACTGTAAATATTGCAGATGTTCAATACATTATGTGTGTTTTGTTGTTCTGGTGTGTACATGTACATTTTGGAGTACTAGAAAGCTTTGATCAAGGCTGCTCAAATTCTTATCCTGGCTCAGTTTTTCAATAGAAAACCACAGCTTTGCCTAAACACAATTCCTCGTGAAAAGCATCTATCTGTGCTCATACCTGCTTTCCATAGACAAACAGAATGTCACTTGAAAAATAAGCACCTGAAACCCATTTATGCCCAGTCAAAAGACAGAAAATGTTGCTCTTTGAACATCCTATAAAACATCTACATATTTTTGGGGGGAAAAGGCCATTTTTGCATGGTATCTAATTTTCATATCTTCTTCGGATTTGGGGGCTGTCCTCCTCTCAGGGCCCTGTCTTTCAGCTTTGCTAATGTGTTTCAGTCATTGCCTCACTTAACTATGTGTGCATGCGGAGAACTGGTTAGCGGGCAGGCGACCGGGAGAATTGCCTGGGGCCACGTCACCCAGTGTCGCTGCACACCGGCTCCGTCTGTGCACGTTCGCCAGCCGACTGCATCAATAAGCAGCTCTCCAGGAGAGGTCTGTAAGATTGCTGTGCCGGGCCTGTTTCTCTCGTGGGGCAGAGGCCCAAGCGTGTGGGGCCGCAGTGCTCAACCTGGTGCTTCTGCTGGCCAGGAGGTGTGTGGCCGGTCTGCGGGCCAGATCAGACTCACCCACTGCCACGACTGGGGCCAGATACACCCAGTCCCCATGCTGCTGGACCGGACCTCTGCTCTGCCCCTCAGCCAGCCCTTGCACGGGGCCCTGCTCTGCCCCAGTGGCCTCTGGCAGCCCCAGGTGCCCAAATCACCTGAGCTGGCGCAGAGGGGCTCCCCGCGGGTCCTGAAACGTGGGCATTAACCCTTGCACCACTGCCCTGCCACCAAATGTGAGGGCCCAGTGGGCCAGACGGCACCAGGGCGCGGACAGGGGCTGTCCTGACCCCTGCCAGCCCCATGCAGGCGGCACAGGGGCACTCGGGGTTTCCTGGTATCTCTCTCCCTTTACTGGGGGAAGGGATTTCTTAGCTCCCCTCCCCCGCCCCCAGGGAAGCCTTTTTTCTTTTCTTTTTTTTCCAACCTTGTTACCCCATCGCATGCAGCGAGGGGGGAGCGGGAACAACCCCTGTACGCATGCGCTGATCTTACACCCCACCCCTGCTTCCGGCTCCCTGGACCAAAAAAAATAAGGGCCGGGGAAGGCGACTGGCTGAGCCGCGCATGCGGCCATTTGGCCACGCCCCCTCCTCACCGGCCTACATAAGCTGACGGCCGGGCGGGCGCCTAGCTATAGGTGCGCGGTTCACGTCAGCGGTCGGCGGCGTGTGCGCGAGCGAGCGAGCGAGCGAGCAGGAGGCACGATGGTGAAGAGCCTGGGGAGCCTGGTGAGCGACCGCTGCGGGGGGGAGGCGCTGCGGGCAGCCGTGACGCGGCAGGTTTGGTCGGTTC